TTTTCTTTTTTATTAAATGGGTTATTCTGTTGTTAGTTCCTCAAATCTTAAATAATCCATATGAGTCCCTCAAATCTCAAATAGTTGCTCATTAGTGCCTCTAATCATAAAGGTACCGTTTGGCAAAGGGTTAAATGAGGGGTTAAGGAGACTTAACCCCTTCTTAACCTGCCAAACACAACAAATCTATATAAGGGTTAAAGTGAGTTACCCATCCATAATTTGCCAAACATAAAAAATATAGAAGGGTTAAGTTAACCCCTCTAGAGGGGTTAAAATGAGTTAACCCCTCAAAATGAGGGGTTTACTAATACTCCTATTTAGATGGAATAAGAGTTAACCCTTCTAATTATAAAGAAAATAGTCAAAATCATTGTTATTCCCAAACACTAAAATTGATCATAAGGGCTAAAATAAAACTTATTTAACGGGTTAATAATTTAGTCCTTCGGATTATCAAATGGGCTAAGTACATTAATCCTTCTTTTTAACCCATCTTCATTAACCCTTTGCCAAACGGGCCCAAAGGGATCTTGCAATTTGGTCTGTCAATAACTATAATACCCCTTATTTATGTGTTCTCTATTAAAATATATCTTTAAAAAAAGGATTATTTGCATTTTAGAACTCTAAAATTTATACTTTTTACATTTAATATCCTAAAGTTTATTGATACTTTAATAAATAATAACACTAAAGTTTACAAGCTTTTTAGCTTTGATATCTTAAAGTTTCTGGTTGATGCTTCTCTTATGATAAAGTTTATATCTTTTTTATTTTGATACCCAAAAGCTTTGTTTTTTGATAATCTGAAACCACAAACCGTAGATATCAAAGTTAAAAAATGTGTAAACTTTGTGCTGCTAAAGTTCAAAAATGTGAAATCTTTGGATTATTAAAGTTAAAAAATATGTAAACTTTGTGCTGCCAAAGTTCAAAAATGTGAATACTTTGGATTATTAAAGTTAAAAGATGTGTAAACTTTGAGGTATCAAAGTGCAAAAAAAAAGTTTAGGGTATCAAAATCAAAAAATGTATAAATTTTTGTAGCATCAAATTGCAAATAACCCATATAATTTATAGCGCCAAATGCAAATAACCAGTATAAGAAGTAGGGTTTTTATATGAAAATCAACTTTAACTTTTTTTATGCAAATTGCAAGTTACTTCTTTTAATAGAAATGACCAACATTTGTTAATGTTCTCAAGGTCACACTTTTTGATATTTTTTGTTAAAAAAATTCTAAAGTTCCTATTATATCCCCCATCCACTCTAAGAGGGAGAAGGAGAGGCAAATGAGGAGGAAGGAGGGTGTTGACGCTGATGGAGTTGGTGACGAGATAGGAGGAGGTCAAGAGGTCAATTAGTAGTGAAAGTGAAGAGAAAGGATAACGGGAATGAGTAGGAGGAGAAGGAGGTGAGTGAGGTGAGAATGGATGAGGACGGGGATGGAGGGGGAAGAGAGGACGGAATGGTTTAAGGTTAGAGAACTCTAGATGTGGAGTGGCCATTAGTGGACGAAGAGGAGAGGAAGTAAGTGGATAGGGTTTAAACCCAAGACGTGGAGGAGATGGTGGAGGCAAATGGGGAGAGGAGAGGGGGAGGGGAGACAAGTGAGGAGGTGGGAGAACAATAAGTGGGAGAGGGAGAGAAAGGGAGGGGATGAAGGGAGGAGAGGGTTAAATGGGGCATTTTTTGGATTTTTGAAGTTGAATAGTGGAAAAGTGTAACATTGAGAGCATATTAGTAAAGGTAGGATATGATCTATACACACTAAAAACACTAGAGGGGGTGAATAGTATTTTTTTTTTAAATTATGCAAAGTATATTATAAATTACAAGAAAGATAGCAACAATCGCATAAAATCACAATCACAAACACGAGCTTTTATACTGGTTCCACCTCCTCGGTGTACATCCAGTCCACAAGCAAATCCCGCTTGAGAATCCCACTATGATTTTAAAAAACTATTACAAAATCAAAAAGCAAACCTGACCAATTTGCAAGGCCATGCAAATTGTACATAATCTCTTCACCAAGAGATCACGCCTCTCACATCTGAGAGAACACTTCCTTGAAGGAAGAACACAATTCCTATAAGCATTGAATGTGTAGTAATGTGTAGCAATGGCTTTAGGAACTTTTTAATCTCTGAAAAATACCTTAATACTTTGTATATGGGATGAAGATCAAAGACTATTTCAGAATTCAATTTTCTCAAGACTTAGGCAAAAATCTGAATTTTAGAACTCTTGAGACTGCACAAATGTTAAAGCTTATGGATAGGAATAATGGTTGGCAATTTCTAAACATAGAACCTATTTATAGCCCTTGAAAAGACAAGTTGTTAACCGAATTAAACGGATAAAAATGGTTATAAGCAATCACAATTTCAAACTTAAAATGTCAGAAAAACTGTCTCTGTAGTTGACTATAACACTTGTAGTCAACTACTCCAAGTTCAAACAGACTCTGTGAAGTCAGGATATTTCTTAGTAGTCGACTACTATAGTCATTAGTCGACTACACTGTAAAAACAAAAGTTCTGGAATTTGGAATTGACTCTTAGTAGTCGACTATAACACCTAGTAGTCGACTACACTGATTTTACAGAAAGCTGGAAATCTGTCTAAGTCTTTAGTAGTCGACTACTATCGCTATTAGTTGACTACACTGTAAAATGACAAAAACTTATATTCTTGACTAAGGCTTCAGTAGTCGACTACTAGTCTTATTAGTCGACTACTAAGGGGTGAAAATAATATGAATGAAATATTTTGAGACTCATTAATTAAATATAAATTCTAATGGTTAATATTGGGGATTTCTATTGTTAACCACATACTAAGTACGTGTTAGTGTGTTCTAATCACTATGTATGTGCATGTGTTGTGAGTGATCAATGATTGTACAATAATTCTAAGAAAAGAAAATGTAAAATTTACATTGTATATATTTAAGCACTTCTTATTTACTTCTTGTTGCCTTGAGCTCATCTTGCACTTTTGTTCATATATCTTGAGCTTATTTGATGTTGATATTTGCATTGATATATTAGCACAATAATACACATAGTGAATAAATTATTATCATCAAAACTATATCTTGGGGATATGATATCCAACATCTATAATTTAAAAAACTAATATAATAAGTTGCAACTTGGATAAAATTAAAATGATTTTCATATAAAAACCCAAAAGAAATATTAGCTAAAGATATTTTGGTCACTAAGGAACCAAATTACAATAACATTAGGATTTGAGGGGCTGCTGAGGAATTTCAAAGATATGAGGGATTAATATGGAATTTGTTGAAGATTTGAGGGATTAATATCTTAGACCATCTCCAACCACCCTATCTCCAAAATCTCCAAATTTGGAGAGTGAAACCTCTCCAACCACTCTCAAAATTTGGAGATCTCCAAATTTGACCCTCCAAATTTGGAGGGTGAGGAGAAAAAATGGAGGGTCTCTCCATAACACTATTCATAATTTATTAATTATAATTTTACCATTTTTAACTATTTGATTTCTTAAAAATTACCACTTTGCCATCCTTCTTAGTAATTTAAATAACTATTTGATTTCTTAAAAATTACCACTTTGCCATCCTTCTTAGTAATTTAAATTAGATGTTTAATTTTAAATAAATATAGTTAAAAAATTATTAAGATGTTTAATTTTAAATAAATATAGTTAAAAAATTATTAATCTAATATTTGAAATCATTATATATTTGGTATGCTATGAATACAAGTGATCACAGAGTCCATATTTGGTATGCTATCTAATATTTAAAAAATTATTAATCTAACATTTTTTTAGCGGTATTCGGTATGCTATGAATACAAGTGATCCCAGAGTCCATACTTTCATGAGTAACTTTGAAATAATTGATTATAGCTATATGAGTAAAGTATGATGACGGGTTGCACAAATTTTCTTCTCTTATGTGATGTTGATTAAATTTATGGTTTAAGATATATAATTAGGGTCATAATAAACCTTACTGACTGTAAACTGATTTCATCAATTGTCATGTTTTTTTGCAAGAGCAATGACATCAATAGCTAAAGTAATAAAAATTGACATGTAAAATATGTTGGTTTTATTTCTTAAAAATATAGTAGACATGAATGATCTCCTATAAGAAAGTAAAAAAAAAAGATAATTTAATTGAATTAACATAATTAAACCCTATCCTATTTGAAGGATGATCTTGCACGTCAATAGCGAAAAGCTTGGGGCTATATTCTAATTTGATTATTATTATTTATTTTATAATTAAACTGCTCTAAATTGGGATCTGAGCCTTGTTTTGAAAATGAATAAAATTTTGTTTTAAACCTAATCCAATTTTTTTTTAAAAAAAACCGACCGACTCCCCTTTTATTTTCAGAGATAGACTCACTTTTCGGCCACGTCAGCAACGTGCCCGTGAAGCAGGTCGATTTTTTTTAATCTCGTCGCTAAATAGTCGGGGTTGCCAACCCCAACTAATTTTGCT